GGACAACATCGTTTTGCTAGCATTGAGGTAATCTTCACAAACAGAATATATAAAAATTTTCTTAGAAGTATGATAAGAATATTTTGCTAGTGAAAAGTAGCGATCAACAGGAGTAATGGGATTACAGCGACTGACTTGTACAACAGGCCTCACTCGAAGTAATAATTATTGTGACAATAAAAAACTGGTTTAAAAGCATGTATCGTCTTTTTGCTGGTCATGACAAATATGCTAGCCCAAAGACGTGTATGCAGAAGAAGACCGTCGTAGAATATCCTTACAGTTCTAGCATTATTTGAAATTTTGTCTTAAATACACGTCATTACCAAAATATTACTCAACTAAGTAAAATACTTGTTAATGAGATAAGGTATATGATAAAATGTGCCACGCTTATATATGAGTCCAATAAAATAACCACGGTAATTCATTACATTAATTTCTGATTTTTATTGCTCAGTGCTTTGACTCAAAAGCTTTTCTTATTCTTCAACATCACATCTTTTTTATTAAGTAATAGTTAAAATAGAATTAAAAGTTATTTACATACCCCGCGTGTATACAGCTTGTACCTTAACAAATTAATTGTTACAATATATAGTGTACTATTGATGCATAACTTTTTTAATCCCTTAAGGTAAAAGTTTTGATATCTGTATTAACGCAACGTAGGTTGGTAGTTTTGACGATTTGCGATTGAAAACACACTGTTACTGTCAATAATAAATTTGCGTGAGTGTTACAGCTTATTGCAATTTAAATCTTGCAAGGATTTCTGTTTATTTGCGTTTCATTTAACGTAAATAAATACGCGGTTTAACATTTGTTAATAACAATAGAAATTAAAAAATAAAACAAAATTTTCTTTGCTGAACACAAAATGCATCATTATATATCAATAGAATTTAAAAAATTTTTCATGCATGTCGTATTACTATTGAGTTTTTCACATTCTGTTCACTAAAGGACCTACAATGTATAATGTTATGATTTTGATTTAGACAGATTAATAGATAGTATTATAAAAACTCTATATTTTTAAACATAATTTTAGGAAACTTGAGTCATCTATGCAGCAAAAGGACCATGATACATGCTTTTTTATACCACAATTTGTCAAACTGACATTAAAAGCGAATTCTCGAAATGCTACCGTCTTACATAACGCATTTGCATTATGCCGACAACATCGTTTTGCTAGCATGAAGTTAAACTTTACAAACAGCATATATAAAATTTTTCATAAACGAATGAAAAAAATATTTTGCTGGTGACAAGTAGCGATAAACGTTAGTAATGGGATTACAGCGACAGACTTGTACAACAGGACTCACTCGTAGTATTAATTATTGTGACTATAAAAAACTGGTTTAAAGCATGTATCGTCTTTTTACTGGTCATGACAAATATGCTAGCCCAAAGATGTGTATGCAGAAGAAATTCGTCGTCGGATATCCTTACAGTTTTAGCATTACATAAATTTTTTTTTTAAATGCATGACATTACCAAAACATTACTCAACTAAGTAAAATACTTGTTAATTATTCAAGGTATATGATTAAATGTGCCACGCTTATATACGAGTCTATTAAAATAACCACGGTAATTTAATACATTAATCTCTGATTTTTATTGCGCAGTGCTTTGACTTAACAGCTTCCCTTATTCTCCAACATCACACCTTTTTTATTAAGCAATAGTTATAAGAGAAATAAAAGTTATTTACATACCCTGCGTATATACAGCATGTAGCTTATTTAATCAAAAGTTTGTTTGTTCCATTCCAAATAACTATACATGCATTAACTTTTTGAACATTATATTAACCAAACAAAAATAATAAACGTTTTAAACTATGGATCGTTGCAATCGAATACCTAAGAATGATTATAAGTTTGTCTGAAAATTCTTGTGTAATTAAAATTCACAAATAAGTCAGTGTAATTATAGTAACTATATGTAAGTACGTTTATAAAATATTGCTGGCCCATTTCTTTCTTTAACTGAAATTCACTTCTAAAACATAAATAGTTATAGAATACCTAATCAGCACACACAACAATTAGTATAAGCTTTAACCTTAAATATCATCGTATGCCTGATCCGGACTAGATCCATGTAAGATCCATTTTTCGGAGGTCCAGTAAATGGATCGTTAGTGGATCTATTAACAGATCCAGCCCGGACCTCGTACGTCCGGGTCCGGATCCGGAATGGATCCTACACTGAGGATTATTTCTATTCAGGTACGACATCAAAGACGTCTTTTAAGTGGATATTTACCACCTAGAAGACATCTTTAAGAAATTTTCAAACAAAATGTTCTCTGGGGAAAGTGATTTTTTCATTTTCTCTCCCCCTTCCTTAGCCCAGCTGCCGATACCGTGCTGCACCAGACGTTCTTACATTGCCCCGTTTTACTATACTGTTCAAGTACCCCCTACACTTCCTCTTACAATGCCTCGTCGGGCCTTTCTGTGCCAGTCCACTCTACACCACTCCGTCAACACGTATACATGAAGAAATAGAATTTTAATTTTCTTTTTTTCATTAAATTACAATTTTTTATTCTACAAGTAATTCCAAGGAAAAAAAATTATTTCCGTGTGATTTGAACCGGCAACCTCCT